TTGGAATATATTTAGTGTCTTATATCAACTACCTTCCTTATTTAGTTTGGTAAGCTTGGCTCAAGCGTAATATTATAAGCTTAGGAACGTACAAGCAACTTTTGATTATATTACAATTATCGTATATTCAGTTATAGTACAAAGATATAGGTATTTGGTAAAAAGTTTGTACTACAAACCATTCCTACCTAGTCTGTTTATATTAGTGGGAATGCTTCTAAGAAACAATATTACGATCAAACGGACAGACGGACAAGCTCGATTTGTGGTATCTCCTATTTACTTCTCGGATATATTTAAAAGCAATAAGATTTAGATATTCATTGGGAATTATTACTACCTTGTACCAATTGTGAAACTGTAAGTCCAAAGTTTTTCAAAAACAATCTGTCGGAGACGCGGACAAACGGACAAGGCGTCCTTATCTGCAGGGGTTTCCAATTCTTTGATAAAAGCAATAACTTATAGTTTTCCGACTCGACTACAGTTATCAACTACTTGTACCTGTTCAGTAAATCTATTAAGGAGTCTCGGGAAACCACAAAGAATTCTTCGGCTATAAGTCCCATACGCTCCCCCACAAAGCCCAGCTAGACCTGGTAGTGTATAAAACGTACACCCCGGCATAATTTAATGATGAACAAGACCCTGAGCTGCTTCTCCTTTTCAAATGTGTTAATCTGTATAATTTATGCGACAATTGAGGCAAAAATGGAATTTGTCTCGGGGAAGGACCTCGCAAGCCCGAAAAAAGAAAGGAGAGTCGGCGAGCTGTGTGGTCGAGAGTCTCGGGCTCTGATGATTTGATGAGTTTGTGTCCTGGCTGTGTACCATGGATATCCTATAACCAATTCGGGGCAGACTCCCCCTAGTGCTGGCTGTCCTGTCCTGACAGTGGCGGGCCCCCCCCCCTTGGTCGATCTGATCTGTGTCGTCTCCTTTTCTACGTAAACGTGGCATACAAATTGCACTCATTTCAGTTTCTCACGTTTGTTGCATGTTGTACATGACTGCAACGCGCACGCACACAAATCGACATACATGCCGCTGCAAGGAGGTATAGGCCTCGACCTCTGCTTAGTTACCGCCCCGAACCCCGTGCCTTTGCTGCTTGCCACGCCCTCCACTGTGTCGGCAGCCTCCACTATTTTCCAGTCGCTTCATCGGCATGCGACAAACGGAAATGTTGCTTTTATGCTTTAAATATGGCAACTTTGTGGTGTCGACAGACACACTAGGACACTCGCACACATGCTCGCTCCCCACCACAGTCACCCACCACCGACCCGACACACCCCCTTCAGAGTGGCCCACAGCCCACAGGCTACATAGTACAAACCCAGTGTCGATTGCACGTCTTGCTCGGCCCTCATCCAGAGGCTTCTGGCTAGGCATCCTTTTCGTCCTTTTGCCCTCGCTCGACCCATCATCCCTGCTTATACCCTTAGAGGAAGTCATATGATGGTGTCCGAAAGTGCCTTAGACGGTAAGAAAGACATTTTCGGGACTAACTTCGGTCAGGATCACCCCTATATGGTACTGTCCGTGTGTCCGCATGTCCGTTCGTTTCCTTAAGCCGGAATTATTTCAGTTAGGTTTTACGCTATTGAGCTGAAATTGGGCATACACATCTGTCTTTATAGTAGGTATGATATATGTAAAAATCAGCGGATTAACTTAATATATATCCCATATATAAGGGCCATCTTATAAGACATAAACTCCATATCTTTGAAGGAAATGTAAGCTTAAGACTTCTCCAGCTGGGTAAGGGCTTCTAAACTTCGGCTTCGGCCCAAACTAACCATACTTACTTGTTGTACTATCTATATATGTATATGTGTGCATCTATGTGTTAGTCTATCCCTCTCCGAGTGTGTGTGTGTGTGTTAGCGAGTGTTTGAGCGATCGACCATGAAGCCTTCATTATTGCATTTCATGATTTTGCGGTTCTTTATGCTCCTTTCCTTTGCACTAGGATGCGGGATTTGGGGCCAGGAGATATGTATGAAGGCAGCATGCGGAAGGACACTGGACGAGATGTGCCATGTGGCATGTGGCATGTGCCATTTGCCATGTGTTTGGCCTGGCCGGGACTGGTGTCGACACTTTCACAACATCCACATCCACATCCACAGAGACAAAGACATCACAGTCAGCTCCAGCTCCAGCTTCAGCTCCAGATATGCCTCCTTCGTCCCTTTTTTCGGGATACGCCTCGTCCCGCATTCATTTCCATCTCGGGATTCATCCTGCCTCCTATATCCTTCCGCCTTCCGCTCTCCGCCCTCCTTCCATATATATCCTGCCTCCTGCCACCTTGTCTCATTCAAATTTTCAATATTTTGCTCTGTCTGTGGCGCTATAGGTCGTTATCACGCATTTCCTGCCATTTGCATCGCCGTCTCTCTGTGTTGCCATTGGCATTGGAATTGGAATTGGTAACGGGTAACGGTGATGGGTAACGGGTAACGCTGACGGTAACTGTAAAGGGGGATTGGTAACGGGAACTGCAGCCACAAGACGCGGGCTACGTGGCCGGCAATCGACTTGACCAATTTGCCGCCTCTGCGGTTCCGGCTATAGCGCATTAGGCCGCATACAAACGACAAAAAAAAGCGATCTTGCCACATGCCACATGGGGGGTGGCCTGCGGTGGTGTGCCAAGACTGGAGCTTGTTTCTGTTCCTATAGGCTTAAGAGTCGCGACCAAAAACTTATTGGGGATCAACAGGAATATTGGCAATGGAGAATGCATATTTTACATTTGATTAGAGTTTAAATAATAATAAATTAAAAAAATTGTTCGAAACAGAGCACGGTAATAAAATTTAGCACGGTAATTTTAGGGGTTTTTTACTTTATAGAAAATTAAAGTTCTTAAAAAAACTAAATGTTAAAAATCATATATGAAATCTAGGTTGATCGTTTTTGTAATAAAATAACTATATTTTACGTGAATTTATAGTTCCATGTTAAAAAAAAAAAACTAAGAAAATATTTTGGATATTTTTCCAAAGACATTTTATTTGAAATTTAACATTTTGGAAAAAAGTGTTTGGAAAAAACTTGGCTTAGAATAAATTAGATTGATATTAAAAGGGATACACTTTGGCAACACGCTTAGTCTAAATAAAAACTAAAAAAATAAGATTCCCTAAAAATTTACCTTAAGCTGCTTAAGAAAAAAATGATAAATTATCAATTTAATTTTGGTAAAAATTTATTCAATAACAATATAATTTTGAATCATGTTTTTTGGTATTACAAAGAAAGAAATATTGATTGGTTTGTTGCTTCCACTAAGAATACGAGAGTATGTGGTTTATAAAAATTTAAGGCGGGATTACATAAGGGGATAATACATATAAAGCCACATATCATTCTCACAAAAAATAAACCGTAACATCAATTTAGCCAATTTTATAAAATTCATAAATTTCAATTTAAAAAATCTTTTAATAAAATTCCATATACAATAAAAGTATATTTTGGCCGCAAAATAAAGTTAATTAAATGGTTCGTTCATTAAAAAAACAAATGAAACGGATAAAGAAATACCATTATCCCTAAATAATTCAAAATACTCAAACATTCGCGGACATTTTCCAACACTTTTAAAATATAACGATACTTATCGCTTCTCTGCAAATGAACCAATCGAAAACTATCGATCACTTTCTTTTAAAGCCAAAATTAATTAATTAAAAATTAATTATTCTTATTTAAAAAAAGTGCCATTAAAAGATCCCCTGAAATAAGATTTCAAACATCGGGGAGGCCAAATGATTCTTCCACTACCTACAGGAAGTAAGTTAATATTAAAAAAATTGATAAAACTTTCGGACGAATAAAGTAAATTAAAGCCATTTCTATAGCCCATTCCTATTGGCCCAATATTGGGTTAATAGCACTCTGAACGATCACCGCTTCAGTGGCGTGCCGGGCTGGGAGAGATGGCCAGTGGCCACATTGCCCTAGCCCGACTGTTAATGCCACTGATTGGTAATAAATTGAAAAACATTTCGGCCAAAGGGCGACAGTGAGGATTTGCAGGCAGCCCACTGGCAGGCACAAGGATCGCAGGCAGGACTCGAAATCGGAATCAGAGCCGAAATGGGACGATGGGACGGGGAGGAGCAGGTCCTTTCAATGAATATGCAAAAACAAGGTAAATAGTGAATAAAATCAAAATAAAAACTCATTTATCAACACACACTCACACACAGGGACAAACAAGGAAGGAGGGCCCCGCACACACATGCGGGGCTAGCGGAGGAATGAGAGGCTGTGGCGGAGCTGTGCACTGGCCACGTGTTGGCCAAAAGGGAAAAGGTCACAAAAGCAGGTTAAGCTGCTTTTTAAATAATACGCACAACACGTTAATACACACAGGGGCCACACAATCCTTTCCGCCCCTGGCCAAAAAAAGGACGACAGAGGAGCGCCAGTGCCAGCGCCAGGGGCGAGGAGAGGTCCGGTCCCAAGTCCGGGCGCCACATGCGAACATGTCGACTGGCGCCCAACGACTGTGGCTCCTTTACGCCCGAACCTGCGGAGCCGAGCACGACCTCCACACGAGCCAGAAGCGAGCCGGGCTCGTGGGCGCCTCGGCTGGGCTTCGCGGGCGGCTTCGGGCCCGGCCGAGCTCCACTATTGGCGGCCAGCTCCAGCGCCAAATGCCCGGCTCCAAAGCCAGCGCCAACGCCAGCGCCAACGCCAGCGCCGACGTCGATGCCGATGCCGACGTTGGCCGTAATCCGTTCGCTGGATTTTTTGAATTAGTTGCGTGTGGTAGCTTGTTGACATCAGAACCGGGTACCGGATGCGAATGCGGATGCGAGCACGGATGCGGACGACACGTGTGCGTGGCAAGCAAATCTCTCGACAAATCTCGACAAGCCTCGCCAGAGTTTAGAGTTCAGAGTTCGCGCTGGTACGTTTCGGGCCGATCGTCAAGAGAAACAAAAATTTTAAATAAAAAAAAAAAAAAAGAGCGTTAAGAGCCCACCGGTTTTTTTTTTTTTGGCTTATAACTGTTGCTGGTTTTTGTGTTTGTTTTTGTTGTTGTGTTCCTGGTCCTTTATGCGGTATCACGTGTGTGTGTGAGAGGTGAGGTGAGGTGAGTGATTTTTGGATATTTTGTAGCTGATGTTGCACCAGCTAGTTGCAACAGTTGCAAGTTGCAATTGCTTTGAAATTTAGTGAAACCAAAAAACAAAAAAAAATAAGGAAAAACCAAACTAAATCGTACTAAACCATAACCAGACCCGAAAACCTAAAAAACCCGAAACCCTAACCCTACCAGCCCAAACCCAAACCCAACTCAAGCTCTTAACTCTCAACTCAAACATGGAAACCAACTGTAAAGCCCTGGCTACCGGTTAGTACCGTTATAACGGACATGGCCGAGCCGGGCTGACCTGCGGTCAACGGTTGTCCGTTTAGCTAGTTTTGTGGTCGCTTTGACGCGGTCGCGGGCAATTTGAAAGCCAACACCGAAGCGCCGATTACGATAAGTGCAGGCCAGAGACGGGACGCGAGGGTAACGGTAAAGGATGGCGAGCAGGACCCTGGGAGAGGCTGGCAGGAGAGCAAAAAGGCATCGCAATCATCATCAGTTTCTGTATCCTCATCATCCGATTCAGTTGCATTTTGCATTCACTTTCCCCTCAAATGTTGCTCGCATTGCTTTCTCTGCCATTTTAAAAATATATATCCTTTTTAGTCCTGCCTGTGTGAGTCTTTGTGTGTGTGTGTGTGTGTTTGTTTGTTTGTTTGGGTGGTTTTTTTATTTTAGCCGAGTAGTTGGCTGCAATTGCCAGTTTCGCAATTAAAGACTCTCTCTCGCAAAAACATCCGAGAGGCAAAATATTAAATACTAAATGCCAGCTCGTCCCTTTGCCTGTTGCCGTCGCCTGTCAGCCACCTATTTTGTAGTGGCTGCCTCAGTGGGAGGAGTAAGGCTGCATCCCATCATCTCCCCCAGGTGTCCTGGGCAACCCTCCTGCCAGCCTCGCCTCGCCACCACTGGCAGCCACTCTGGGTGCGAACAGGTGAGTGGGACAAAGCAATGTGCCAGTCTGGAGGAGATTTGGCCCAAATCGAATTAGTTTCCAATGTTGGCAGAGGCTTCGGGAGGAGTGGCTGCGAAAAACATAAACAAGACTCTCCGCAGCATCCTTTGTGCCTCCACGACCGACATCCGATATCCTTTCTTTTGTTTGAATTCTCGGCAGGATGTTGTGTGTCCTGTAATTAGAGGGCGACGGGGAAACAGGGCTTTTCCTCAAAAACCCTCTAACTATTAATATTAATATGAGATTTCACAGGAATTTACAATTTCTAAGAAAAACGGATTTCATTTCTGAAGTTTCTATAATTTATGTGGAATTTCTATAGGAATTTTTAAAAGAATATGCGAATTGAATTCAACAACTAATCAAACATTTATCAATTTACTTTTAAAATTTAATACTTTTCAATATATTTCAAAAAATTAGTTGAGGATCATACAGATTCCCATTTATGAAAGGATTTAATAACCGTTCAACTTCTGAGAAAACCAAGTAACGGATATAAAAATATTATAAATTGCAATCATTTAATAAATCATCAATGTAATCGTTTCCAAATTAAACCAAATGAGGAAAAAGTAGGGACGACTAGAGCCCAGTTTCTCGACTGTACCGGTACGCTGCCTCACTTCACTCCCGTTCTTTTTCAGAGAGTCCTCAAAATACAATTTTAGGCATACTTTTTGCAGCTATGGAACAAGTTGCTGAAAAACCGAATAACTTATCCAAAAATCTAGCGATATCTCTGACTTTGTATGTATATATAAATGGGCCTTTGAAAAAGAAAATTAAGAAGATCAAGGAGGGGCACAAATGATTAATTATGATCCTCGTGGCGATAAAGACAGACGGACGTACATATACATATTCATTATAACTCGCATAATAAATAAGTACCGGATATAAAAAGCAAATAAATAACATAATTTCTACAAACAATTCCCGAGTTTAAAAAAACAAATGAAAAACATATCTAAATTGGAAACTACAAGTTCGAGTTTAATTAATTGAAAACCTATAAGTAGACTTCTTGACTATAGAATAAGAACAAGCACCTTTAGATAATTGCATTTACTATTCCATAGCCATGGAATTATTAAAACATGTTTACATTTTCATTTTATAGGGCTTTCTTAATCGAAATTGTTTTCCTTATTGGCCTTTGACTTTTCTTCGCTATTCGGATTCTGATCCGGAAAGAGTCTGGCTAGTCTGGCTAGTCATGGAATTGTCAAGGGAGCTCTGGCCCTCGTTTTCGTTGTCCTTAGCGTCGTCATCCTCGTCCTCCTCGCTAAGCATCAGCTGGTACGGATTCTGCAGTCCATACTCCAGGTTACCATCGAGCATTCCCTGATTCTGGAGGACCTGCTCCCCCTGCATCGACCCCAGGTCCAAGTAGTTGCTCTCTGACCCCGATTCCGACTCCGATTCCGAATCGCTTTCCCCTTCGCAGCAGAGGATTTCGTGGGCCAGTAGGGCAATGGTTTCCTCGCAGAACAGCTCCACGTCGTCCAGCTCGATGTCGGAGTCTCCGTCCAGGAGACTGTACTTAAGGCTATGCGGCCCGAACTCGCAGCAGTTCTCGTCGCCAGAATTCACCATGGCATTAGCATTAGCATCAGTGTCGGAGTTGCTTTCAACTATGGATTATAGAAGTTTTCGTTAAAAAAGGTTTTAATTAAATAAATTCGACAACACTAATTAATTTTAATTCAATAGTTGGTTCAAGGGAAATACTATATTCTACGAATGCTGAGGTTGCGTATGAGGATGCTCTTGTTTTAGACACTTTCTTAGAAATCCTTCTCGTGTCAAAACCTAAAACCTCAAACCCAAACCGCAAATTTACGAAATTCCAGGCATTCGACATTACAAGTCCCCACTAATTAGAAGCGGAAACTTTTCCCCGAAACTGTCATGTAAGTCGCATATTAATCGTTACCTTCGTTGCAATCGCTATCCGTGTCACTGGAAGTGCTCGGCTCACTGCTGCTGCCACCGCCGACGCCTCCGGCGGATGTTGCATTGTTGTCCACCAATGCGGCATCCACACCCACCTCGATATCCTGATCGTTTCCAATCTCCACTACGACGAGCTGGAAGGACCTGGCTCCATCTCGCTTCGAATTGGGTGCATCGCCAGCCATCTTCTTCTGTAGCTCCTGATTCTTTTCGATTGACTCACCTGAATGTGCTAGATATTTTATATATTTTTTTTAGGATTACTATAGTTTTTTTTTTTTCTCACTCTGCCTGTCACTCAACAAACTGAATGTGACCGTTCCGGGACCCTGAATTTGTTTCGATGCGTGTTTGAAGTGCTTCGCTCAGGCCACTGAGATTGGCTCCGGGCTGGCGTTAGGGTTTCTGTTTTAGGTGTGCTGCGTTGAGGCAGTAGCACGTAATGTCCTCGGGGAGGAGCGAATTAAATTTTATGCCAACTGCAATGCCACCCAAAAGGCAGAGGTCCTCAAGACAACGCCAAGATGGAGTCGCAATCGCAATCGCACTTCTCCGGCAAGTTCAAGAGTTGCCATTGAAGTTGGAGCCAGTCCGGCACACTGCAGACTCGTCACAGGCCGCAGGCCAAACTGCCTTTGGTCCTCATGCCACACACACACACATAGCACACACTTACGTATATGTATGTATATTCCCCATATACGAGGCAACATGAACTGGCTACCGCAGCAAAGTTACATTTGAAATTTTATTTCCTTGGTCGAGCCAGAAATGCAACAAATAAAAACGAGCCACGGTCCCCATTCCGGGGGTCCAAAGTCCGGACTCTGGGCTCTGGGCTCCGCACTCTGGACTCCGGACTAGCATCGTTATCATTGTATCACTCTCATCTGGGCCAGTCGACACGCCCCTTGCCTCCTTTAGAGCCTCACCTTTTATGGGTTATACGACTTTCACATACCCAATAAAGCACTTTAAATGGTGACCCGGAGAGAGTACTTCAAAAGTATAAAGGCCATTACAATGGGTGACCCCAAAAATAAAGGGGTTACAAATTAATGTTCATTTTGGCTTAAGGTTTGGCTTGGTCTTTGGTGAATATTTTTTAGTTTTAGAAAATTTGTATATAACATTAACATTGAGTGATGCAATTTAATTAAAATATTAATTTAATGTCTAAATATTATAAATAAAACTTAAAGTATTAAAAAAGTATTAATGATTTTTTCAAAATATTTCCAGCAGGGGTGTCCACGAATAACAATTTTTACAATTTTGTCGTTTTCCCTTTGAAATTGGTATGGCAAATAAATAATTTCCCTCTCCAATTAGAAAATCGTTATATATAAATTATGGTGTCTCCAATTTGTGCTTTTCCAGCCACTAAATTAATATTCCCCTCCCAACTAAGGAGCACTTTTTTGGACCTTAACTTTCACCCGTTGCCATTTGCATCCAAGCCAGTTTGCCCTTCGCTTTCTATCGCTCCCGTTTTGCATTTTCACTTCCACTGCCATTCCTTTGACCCGGGAGCTCGACCAGGAGCAGGAGCGGGAGCCAGGACAGAAGTAGGACTAGGACCAGGCGAGGACCACTTTGGTGAACCACAATTTCATTTCGCTTTGCCCTGGCGTTTAGCCTGTTTTGGTTTCGGTGCAGTTTGTATCTGTTTCTCCTATTTTTTTGCAGTCTGTCCAGTCTGTCCAGTCCGAGGCCTTCCGGTCGTCAGAAGCAGTCGCTTTGTGGGTAGATCTTTGGTGTTTCAGCATTGTGTCACCATAGCCAGTTTAGAGCCAGTCCATAGCTATATCTTCAGTTTAAGGCCACCATCATCGCAGTCAGCTCATTGCCCGCTGCGTTAACGAACATAATAACCCTTTTCTCTCTAATTACACACCAAATTTACTACAAACGAGCAATAAAAATCATCCAAGCAAAATCTCTGCTTCGGTCACACCCCTTCCATTCGCCATTCGCGATTCGCTCTACCCCAACGTCGCTCTGCCTCCTTCCAACGGCGTTTAAATGCAAATGCTTTTTTCTCACGCACAGCACAAAAAACATTAACAACAATGACAATAAATGAAAGACATTAATGCTAAGCGATCCGCATCTCGTTTGTGCACTCCTCCCTCTGGCGGAGAGGGATACTGGCTCGGATAAAGGATAAAGACGGTACATGGCGACCGTGACAAACTGAGAGCGACGCTCCACCCGACAGTCAATGAAATAAAATTAAACAATTATGTTATGTGTCGGTGGGTGGGTTCTCCGACTCTACACTGTTTTACAATTTTTTGGGAAAGCATGCTTGCCCTTGTTACACCTTTGCCTTTCTGTCTGGTCTGGTCTGGGGGCCACGTACATAATTATTTGATGCTGTGTGTTACGGGCGGGCGAAAAGTAACCCTCCCACTGGGTAGCTTCCACTTAAACCTCGCTCATACACTCCCTCACTTACTCAGTCGGGCAGTCAGTCATTCAGTCATTCAGTCACTCAGTCCCTCAACCGACAGTGGGGCAAATTTTACGCGACGTAATCGTAATATGATTATCGTGCTACATAATCCCCCTCTTCCGCGCTCGTGTATGTGTGGGGATGTGTTAAATAACTTCCTTCCGGTGGAAGCGGCGACAACATCAGCCACTACACCGACCCGTACCCGAAACCGAATCCGAACCCGAGCCCAGACCCAGACCCAGACCCAGACCCGGACCAGCCCCAACCTGCCCCGCACTCGAGCCATACTCGTGTATCCGCTTCCGTCGAATGATGCCGCAGAAATGTTCTAAATCTCATATCATCATTTACGCAGTAATTTTTAGAAGCCAACTGGATGATGAGGAGGCCACCACTCCCTCCTCAGCTTTGTCCCTGTCTCTGTTTGACAGTCAGAGGACACTTTTTGGCCTTAACCAGAGCCAACTCCATCATCCAGCGCCTCCCACTGCCCGACTAGTTTCCATTCCCATTGCCGTAATAAACAAAAGCTTCAGCTCGCAACTCATGCGAGTGAAACTTTCTGCCAGGACGACTGTGACTTTCGGCCGGGCCACCACGGCCACGTCCGCGTCCACGTCATAGGGAGGGTAGGGGGGTGGGCGACTGAGAGTGTCCTTATTTTAATCTCGACACAAGTTAACAGCATTGTTGGCAGCCGCGTGCCATCCTGGGTGCGCATCAACATAATGCGACCGGCTCTGGGTCTCTCTCTGGCATCCGGCATTCATCCCAGACCGCAGCTCCTTTACGAAAGGAGCCTTAGTTTCAGTTTCAGTTTCAGTTGCCTGCCGCCTTCCGCCTCCGCCGTCGTCCTTGGCCCCTGGTCCTTGTCATTAGCAGTTAGCATTCAGACGGCATCGTCATCCTCTTCGTCATCATCATCGCAGCCGTACTCGCACTCGTCGCCGTCTCCTTAGTCTTCCTTGATATCCTTCGTTGCCTGTCGCTTGCCGTTCATAATGTTATGATGGCTAAAAGCTAATTGCGTTTGTCTGTGTTAGTTGCTGACATTTGCCCTCCACATCCTTCGTCCTTCGTCCTGGGTCGTGCGTCCTTTTCGCAGTTGCCATCGTCGTCGTCGTCGTTGTCGTCGACGTGGCGGCATTAAGTGTCACTGGAGTGCCTAATCCTTGTAAGTCGTCTAGTTACACATGTTTTTATAACCTGTTTTCCAGGACTAGGTGAGCCAGCTACCCTGTTTTGTTATCTCCGGGGTGGATTAGTTTCCTTCTAAACAAGCAACGACCTCCGGATGAATCCCGATTCCAGGGCCAATGTTTGTTTTCAGGACTTGCTTTGCAAACATGCCCCAAAAAAAGGGGACACCGTAAAGCTGACAAATAGCCTTTTCCAGGAAAAACAATAGACTTGGGCGTCGAGATAGTCTGGGTGTCTACAGTTTGGGTTACTAAGTGTTGGACACATTGGTTTATTTTAAATATTTAAACTAAATAATAAGATTATCGCGGTGTCTCTCTAGTTATTATTGGCTTTAATTCCAATTATAGAACTGATTATCAGTTTATTGAATAATTAAATAAATTAAATCTGAAACTCACACAACGAGTGTATTTCGTCAACTTGTTTGTGAAAATTCTTGAAAGTTCTCATAAGTTCCATCATAGAATAGCCGCTTATGAGACCAATTTATTCGATCACTTTGTTATTTTGTTTGTTTAAGCAAAAGTCCTTGTTGTTTTTGCCAACGTCATGGTCCCTGTTTCTGGGTCCTTTGCATTGTCAGCTGCGTGTCCTTGATGTGTTGGGCCATCAACTTATTGTGGTGTCACTCTGTAGAACAAACTTTGGGGGATCGGATCACTTAATCAGTCAGCCGGACCCAATGACCGGCTAACTTCACCTGTCACGCCGAAGGACCTCGACCTCGAAGGACTCCACCGCTTATCACTGACAAATCACCAAGTGACTCCACTCGGCCGACAACAAGAAGTGTCATCATTAACGAACATCGGCCCCAACAAACATTTATCAACGACAGGCAGACTGACAAACAAACAAACAAACAAATGATGGGAAAGGCGTCAGGGAACTTTTGGCAAATTAAATCAGTGTTTCGAGGGGTCCTGGGAACTGGGTACCGGCGCCAGGCTGTGGTGTGGATAACCGCATTTGGGACTGAGACGATAAACTTATACCCTGGGGAATGGCCCAGCCTCAGCCTCCCGGCAGTCCCCAAAAAACAGTTTTGTTTCCCACCAAATCAAGCAAATCGTATTAAATAACAGTTAATTAGAAATACACACGACCCCGAGGAGAAGGACCTGCCCCGGCCCCCACTCAGGACCAGGACGACACTCAGGCCAGGCCAGGGCACTCCAGAAGCCGCCGCCATTCTTTGCGGTCGAAGCCAAATGGTTGTTGCGAATTAATTAATGATTCACTCGAATGATTGATTATTTGACTAAATGATTGAATTATGCGCTCTTGGCCGAAAGACCCCTTTCTGTTGGCCAAAATGTGTTGCAACCTTTGACCTTTGGCCAATAACTCAGCCAGTGAATGGGGGTGGCTGGTGGATCTGTTAGTTGGTAGTTGGAGAAACCAATAAACACGCCCACACACATCCTTGAATCCTCGAATTCCGCCCCCACACACGCCCCCTTTATGTGCGGAGCTCCTTTTCGCTTTCAGCACAAAAAATATGGCATGCCGAAAAGTCCTTTTTATCCTTCTCTGCTTTTTTTTCGGCGGGTCCTGTAAGGTATACGGACGCATTGATCAAAGTCATTGGCTTTTCGTTTGTGGAATTTCGGTTCATAAATCCTCCTCCACATGGCCGGCAATTAGCCATGGCTAAGGATCTGGTTATTATTAGTAGAGGGCTTAAATAT